TTGCTCCACAATCACCCTCACCTATCATCTGGGGCTGGTACAATAGGCCAGAATTGGCCGCAGTGCAAGGGACTTGGTCCCATTCCACTAGCAAAAAAATAAGTCTGTAAAAGCAAATCCGTGAACTTGTTTTCAAATAAAGCTACAACCAGATAGGGACTAATGTTAGGGTTCGCGTATTTAATGCCGAAATTCCGCTAGAAGTTAGTTTGCATCGGGAAGGTTCTGCGACCTGCCGACTCGATCAAGTTTTCCGTGATTTTCCTCGACCGTAGAGCAGACGCTGAGATCCATGTTGCACTACATGCTTCACGTGCAGCCCTCCCAATGTTAGAATAAATTTCATTGTAATGCAGCCCTTCAAAAGTCATAAAAATTAATTCCGAACATCGTAGTCGGTATAGCGAATAGCTACGGGCTGGACGACCAAGAGGTCGGAGTTCGAGTCCCGGTAGGGTCAAGAATTTTCTCTTCCCCACGTCGTCTAGACCGGCTCTGGGGTCCACCCAGCCTCCTATCCAATGGGTCCTGCGGGCTGTTTCCCCGGGGATAAAGCAGCAGGAGCGTGAAACTGACCACTCATCTCCAGCTAGTTCCGAGGTCAAGAAAATATGGATCTACATATACATCCAATTCCCCATACGCCTTCATGGAGTAATGCTCAATTAGTTAAGCACAGGAACAAATTTACTTTATTTAATTTACATCAAAAGACAGGAAACAGAAGAAGGGGTGACCATGAAACAGCTGGAGGAGACCAACTCTGACAGAAGGCCGAAGAAGTTGTAAGGAGTTGAGGAGTTTAGCGGCGAACCGGGACAAATGGAAAGAGCTTATGCTCCCGATGGAACTACAGATTATTATTATTATTATTATTATTATTATCATCATCATCATCATCATCATCATTATTATTATTAACAAGACACAGCAACGTGAATACCCGAGAATAATGTTACACATATGTGAATTAATAAGGATGAATTAGTGATAAATGAAGAATACATTAACCAACATACCTTTCGAACTTGTACGGAATATGAGCTAAGGATCAGTAAGGGATGAAGAAGCCGGAATATTTCAGTCGGTATAGCGACGGGATTCGGATTGGATGGCAGGTGTTCGATTGCCGGCACTGCTATGAGATTTGTCTCTACTCCACAGAGCCAAGACGCACCGTGAGGCCTAACTAGCCTCCTATCCAATGGTTACCAGTGGGCTCTTTCCCCCTGCATGTGAAGCTGAGCACTCGATCTCCAGCTAGTGCCGAAACCAAGAATTGTGGAGCTATACTTCCACTCCGGTACGCGGTAGCGTAGTTGCTTGAAGAACTATGCTACAAAATGGAAGGTCACTGGTACGATTCCCGATGAGGTCGTTGGATTTTTCAATTGATCTTATGTTTCCAGCAACATTGTGGCCCTGGGACCGACTCAGCCTCTAACAGAAATGAGTACCAGGAATCTTCCTGAGGGTGAAGGACGGCTGAAGCGTAAGGCTCACAATCTCACCGCCATCTGTGAGCCGGTAGTCTACAAAATGTGGGAACCTCGACGTCTCACAACGCCATGGGCCTCTACGTCCTCCACACCTCATATAATTTCATGGCGTGGTGCTTAAGTAATTAAGCACAGGGACGACGTTACACTTTGCCTTTATGAAGAGAGGAGGTGTACAGACACTGCAAATCATACAAGTGGCCGTGGTTAAGAAGTGAGAACTAAGTGGCGCTGAAGACAGTTAACAAGACGAAAAGCACCTGCTAACAAGACGTAAATAATTACTTGAAACAAGTGAGTGTAGATGCTCGTAACAAGATGTAACCTTGGTTGGCATCACTGACAATGCTGCACGTTGTAAGGATGCGCTTGTAGTCCAGAGTCCCATGATAAGCATGTCATTCTTGTGGTAGGAAAATTATTTCTGCAATGTTTGATCATTTATTTTCACCTGTTACAATTTCAAATATTCAAAAACAAACCAAATTTCAGTAAAATTAAATAATTTGTTGAAAACGTTATTAGGGGGACACAATGTCGGCGAAACCTTCATATGTCCATCATGACAACATTCATAGTAAAAGAACGCCATTTTTGTGTTATAAATCAAAATTGAAGGACATCTCAAACAAAGCTCTAGGAAAATATCATACTTGTTATTCACCATACTGTGGTCTTCTGTTAAAATCATGACCTAGATCGCTGTATGTGTAAATAAATATATTCTTTTCAGTGTGTTAAGGACAGACATGAGAGATTTCCTGAAGAATACGTAGGCAGGCTCTAAGTCCTTCAAGTGGAGAACAGCAGCGCGATTGCGTGTGAGAGCGGGCAACTGCACAACTACGGGTTAGTACTCTCGTGGAAAGCGAGCTGAAACAAATTCAGTCTGCTTGTTGTCGTGTGACTTGGTAGTACTGCTTGGCAATGGCTCCGTCCCTCAACTTGTCCGACGACCAGCGGTTCGCCCTCATGAAGGTAGGTTCCTATAGCGTGCATTCCAACAAACGAAGATACCGACTTTTTGTTCTTTTAGTTATATTTAACCACGCTTTTTGAAATACATAAGATCGAAGTCGTTGGCTCAAGCGGTAAAGCTTTTCATTTGTATGCAGAAGGTGTGCGATTCGAATCTTGACCGAGACACCGACTACCGTGTCTGAAGTTTGGGGGAGTTCTTTTAGCCCTTCAAACAAATTCCGTGATTGCACCTTAAATAAGGCCAAGACGGCTTCCTCCTGGACTATTTCTAATTCATTGTTTATTACCGTCAAACTGCTCAAGACTGTATATTACTTGTTCACTGAATTGATCTACAAAAAATTAGTTGCACAGGCTAGAGCGTCGAGTGAGAAGACTCGTGAATTCTGAATTGGAAGGATTGTGGAAGGAAACGTCATGACGGTCATGACCCGTGTAAAGGAAGTGTACAGATCATGAAACATGTAGCAGAGCCAAACGAGGCACTGACCTTGATATAATTATATTGCGACGGTTTTAATAAAGAAATTGTAAACTGTACAGTTGTCAGGGCCGAGCTAATTCTGAAATTTACAAAAGTTCTTGATTAGAGTAACAGGCCTCAACGTTGATAACCATAACCAGGATCTTCAATAGAAGAAACAATGCAGCACTTTTTTAGGAACAGAACAAAACTCAATTTCAATCAGAAATGATACTTTGTTAACTGCCAGAAGTGACCATCGAAGTAGGAGTAAGGGTTTAGGTTGAGCAACTGAAACTCATGAAATATGTCTTAACAGAAAAGACTTTATGCTTAGCAAATTTTGTGTGGGTCATGTTTCCTGCACTAGAGAATAAGAGAGGAAACGTGTCTTTTCTTCAAATCAACAACAAGGGAGATTTAACATGCTACAAAATAGAGTGCATACAGTTCCAAATGCGTCCCTCACATTCGAAAAGGATTTGGGCCGTATGGGCGTCGTGCCTTTTAATTATTAAAAAAGAAATAAACCCTTATGTTTAGTAGCACGAATTATGTGTCAAGGTCCATTCTTTTGCTCCCTGGCAGGTGTTATAAAACAGTAATACGTCTCGAAAAATCATGTATTATTTTGATCAACTAACTTCCATAATGACCTTGTACCACATCGTATCAGCACGTATCACCATTACTGTGATCTTCGGAACTCACGGTTTTGTACATTTACACACTACGCAAATTAAGTTTTAAACCTTCAGAAGGGACAGCGACCATCTTGATTGAGGGTTTTCCCTAATTTCCTCAGTCTCTCCAGGCAAATACTAATTAAGCCACTGCATATTCATTCAAAATCCTTTATAATTAGCGATTCATTTGTCATTCGATGCTACTTAATGCAGATACTAACAGCGTCGTTATCTGATACAAAAAAAAACTGTGTCAGTAATTTAGTGTATTTTTAAATGCATCATTAACCAAGGTAATGTGATCTGTAACCACTGAACAGGTCCAGAATGGTCAAAACGTGTCTGCTAATGATTGAAATAATGATACGAGATGTGACACAAGCACACGCCTGTTATATCTGGCTTGTTATCTGGCTTGTTTAATGCTGTAAATTATGCTTATGTCTGCACATGTAATGAGTTACATCTCGAGAAGTTCTATATTCTGAGATGTGTCGCCGTGTGTTCTGATAGAAGCAACATGCATGATCAGCTTATCCTTAGACACTGAAGTTAGAGATACTATGTTCCTCTGAAACGTCGGTAAACTTCTGCAACTGTTTAGCTTACTCATCAACCTTGAAAATCGAATCATTACGTTCTTCTGAAACATCCCCAAAACAACACTTATCAGGAACAACGTTGTGAGCATGCCAAATCTTAGAAGAGACGCCGCTCGTTACCGTAGACGTTGAAGTGAAATACATGTTTTTACTGAAAACAAAACAAACTCCGTGGCCTGTAGTCCGCAAGCGAACTATACTGACAAAGCGACCGCCGCTTGTCGGCGAAGTTAGTGCCAACTTTTGCGCATAGAGGGTGTCAAGTGGTCAGTGCAACAGATCCCCACAGCCCTTAATTTCGGATTTCTAGACCGGATCCGCTATTTCCTTGAAATAGCTCCTCAGTTATCCTCACGAGGCTGAGTGGACCCCGTTCCAGACCCACTATTTCTCAGAAAATATGGTAGCGCCGGAAATCGAACGCGGAACCTCTGGATCTGTAGCCATGTACTCTGACTACTAAACCACAGAGGTGGTCGAAATGTTTGTACTAACTGGCAAATATGACTTGACCCTTATTGCAAGTTTTATTAGTGGGACACAATTAGAAAATGCGTTAAAATCCGACTGACGTTTATGCAACTTGAAAACCGTGACAGACATAAACGGAATACCAACTGCACTCCTCGTGCTAGGCATCATCTCAATAGCCACTAAGCCCTTATACAGCACAATTGTGGGTGTCAAATGAATATTCATTTTCCATTGTACATGTAGCCAAGTCAGGGGACGGGTGTAGCGACGGGCTACTGACTGGGCGGCTAGGGTTTAATTCCCGAAGAGAATTTCTTTACTCCACAGCGTTCAGACCGGCTCTGGGGCCCACCCAGCCTCCTATCCAGTGGGTACCAGGGGCCCTTTCTCCGATTATAAAGAAACCGAGGCGTTAAATTAACAACTCACTTCCCTCTAGTGTCCAGGTCAAGATTGCTGGAACTATATAGGATGTCCCAGGAGGGAAGGTCAGTGTTCTGGGAGGTCATAGTATCGGTCATTCTAAGCAAAATATTGTATACAAGTATGTACACATGTCCTATTACGAACGGTTCCCGAGATTTCACCTTGCAGATCCAAAACTGTTGGTAAGAAAGAGATATCACGTACTGTTTCTAATACCGGTATTTAATGTTCAAGTGAAAATTTGGTACAGTTTACCTAATGTAAATCGTTTTCGAAAATTCCACCGTCAACATCAATGCACTTTGCATCTCGTATGAAGACATGGCGTGTAGCTCGTCTATACAGTGTATGGTATTAGAATGACCGATACTATGACCTCCCAGAATATTGACCTTTCCTCCTGGGACATTCTGTATATCTACTGCCCCGTACTTCTTCAGAACGTGGTGCTTAATTAAGCACATGGACAGATTTATCTTTTTACCTTGTCGTTGCTGTCCCCATAGTGAGGATGCCTGCTTTACAAGTAAGAACGTATGCATCTCAGTAGCTGTCCCCTCTGCCATGGCCCCTGTCTTTACAAATAACAATTCGACATTATTTTCAGAAGAGTTTGATGTGAAGTTGCACAATCCCCAAAGCCGTCGACGTGTCAGATTTGTAGTGGATAGAGTGGCACTGGGGAAGGTCTCGTCCTTGTACTTCATTGTTCCCCTACCAATTATCATTCAAGGAAATCTCCATGCTCTCATCTGTCATCCGAGGCAGGTACAACAGGTTGCCGCAGTCTCGGCCGGTCTCAGGAATAATTCAATTCGATTCAATTTCAACACAGCACACAACACAGAAGCCAATTACAAAGCTAGCACGAACAGAGAAATACAAAAAAATAATTAAAAAAAATACAAAAACGATAGTCTATATTAATTACACAGTTAGCAGCAATAAGATACAGAAGCAAACATACACAGACAAAGCCACAATGTGAGCATTTGAGTTTCAAATAGAGCAGCATACAATACTACTACTACTACTACTACTACTACTAATAATAATAATAATAATAATAATAATAAGGAAATTAATAAAAATAATGATGATAATAATAATAGTTTAATTAGTTCAGTATATGATATGTTTCATCAACAGAGTTTTTGGTCCAAAGACGTCAATGTCCCTACAGACAACATTAGCAGCAGAAGCGCATCTAGCAGAGCGGCAATTTTTACAAACAGAACAGACATTGAACATAGGAAAGTCTC